TTCATCACTGGGATGGCTTTTGACTTATCTCTCTGGTCCATTACTTTCACCGTCATGACATCAGATGGTAAGTTACGTACCACTAAGAAGAAAGAGAAATACTGTAGATGCAAACTGTAATGAGAATGGCGTTTCCTCTGTAGGTGAAGAAAACAAGTTGCAGAACATTTCAAATGCTCCACTGTATACCAAGACCAATAAAGAATGCTATATAGAGAAATAAAATAAATGATTGAGCTAAAGTTGCAAGAATCATATAAAATCTAGGAGAGGCAAAGACAGCAAAGGCTATAAGTGAAATAGTGAGGAATCCAAATACTTGTTCTCCTATGTAAATATCTAGAACAAAAACAACATCTTGCATTTAGCAAGAATGTTGCCCAATGTATAAAGGTTATCTTGAGGTTATCTTGAGGTTATCTTGAGATGATTTCGGGGCTTAGCGTCCCCGTGGCCCGGTCCTCGACCAGGCCTCCTTTTTGTTATACCGCCCCAGGAAGCAGCCTGTAGCAGTTGTCTAATTCCCAGGTACCTATTTACTGCTAGGTAACAGGGGCATCGGGGTGAAAGAAACTTTTTGCCCATTTGTCTCCGCCTCTACCGGGGATCGAACCTGGAACCTCAGGACTATGAATCCGGAGCTGTCAGGCACCTGTCATCACTGTCCACTCAGCTGTCAGGCACCTGTCATAAAGCTGTCAGGCTGTCATAAAGGTGACAGAACTGTCACAGATCAACCCATCCTCACACTAGACTGTTTAAAGCAGCGGCCATCCTCCCCAGACACATTCATCAATTTTAACATACAGGGTGTACTGTGTATTAAAAATTGGTTTGTTCTCATATATAAATTAATATTATTATACATGAAAATTCCATGTATAGTTAGGCTTAGGTTAGGTTAGGGGGTTTAGGTTTTGTTGGCAATTATTTGTATTTGGGGGTGAAGCATTTATAGAATTGTGGTTCGAACAGAGGACGTGAGCGAAGCACTTGTTCCAGAAGGGCTCAGACGTCATCAGTTGTGAGTTGTGTTTATACCTCTTTTCATTCCCAAACAGGGGGATTTGGCGGCTGGATTAATGACCTTGGATCTTTGTATGTGAGGATGGGCTGCACAAATGACAACAAAGAAATGAGTGAAATACTGAGGCTTCAGTACGATTTGGTTTTCAGTGAACCCTTGAACACACTGAAGATCAACGATCGAAACAAATTGTTTATGAATGTAACGCCACAATTGAACCATATCAGATGTCACCCTAACCTCACTGGACTTTGAAGTAGCTATAAATAGCATGCCTATGTGCTATTGCACCAGGTCCAGATTCCTGGAATTCTATATTCATCAAAAGTTGCAAAAAAAAATAAAAGCACTGTCACAGGCCCTAAATATCTTTTGGAAATAGAACATAGATACTGGTGTCATCCCCCCGACATACAGTACTTAAAACAGTGGAGATCACACCACTTCATAAAGGATATAGTAAAGTAAATGCAAAAAATATGGACCAATTGCTCTACCATCATGCATAAAAATATCTGGGTGATAAGAAATAACATAAAAAACACATGGAATCAGTGTCTACATAACCCTGTGCAGCAAGGGTTCAGGACAGGTTGCTCCTGCCTCTCAAAGTTGCTAGACCCCTATAACATGGACTTAGATGCCATGGAAGGCATGCAAAATGCTGATGTAATATTCACAAATGTGGCCAAAGCTTTCGACAATTATGACCATGATGTTATTGCAGACAAGATGCGTACATAAAGAATTACTGGCAAAGTTGAAAGATGGATATTTAGCTTCCTAATAAAGAGAACCAAGAGTGTAATAGTCAACAAAGTAAAGCCTGGATCATCCACCATGAAAAGCTCTCTCTCTCGGGGCACTGTGCTTGCTTCGGAACTTTTTCTCATCTTCGTATCATAGACTAGGATACAAACTATAGCACTATCATCCTTTGCAGACAACATTAGGAATTATAAGAGAGTAGAGGACACATCAAGCCTCCAATCTCGTGTTAATCAAGTTTTCAATGAACCCCAGAAAATAATACTTTATGTTTAATGAGGATAAGTTTTAGTTACTGTGGTATGGAAAAAAGGAAAATATCCAAGCAGAAACCACATAAAATGTAGTCAAACCACACTATTGAAAGAAAAAGTAATGTAACAGATTTAGGAGTAATCATGTTAGAAGACCTTACTTTCAAAGAACGCAAAACAGAAGTCATCACAGTTGCAAGAAAAATAACAGGTTGGATAATAAGAACCTTTCAAACAAGTGATGCCATACCATTGATGATACTTTTTAAGACACTAGTGCTCGCTAAGGTGGAATATTGTTGCACATTAACAGCCCCATTCAAAGCTGGAGAAATTGTTGATCTGGAGAGCATACAAAGATCTTTTACTGCTAGAATCCATTCAATAAAACATCTAAATTATTGGAACTGCTTAAAAATTTTAAATCTGTATTCCCTAGAGTGCAGGCAGGAGAGATACATAATAATTTATACCCTGTACTTGGAAAATGCCTAGAAGAACTGGTTCCAAATCTGCACACAGAAGTAACACCACATGAGACCAAAAGGTATGGCAGGATGGGCAAAATAGCCCCAATAAAAAGCAGAGGTGCAATAGACATGCTGAATGAGAACTCTCTCAACATCAAAGGTCCAAGACTTGTCAGCACTCTCCCTCTATACATAAGGGGCATAACTGGGTGACCTCTCAAAGTGTTCAAAAGAGAATTTTATGAACATATTCAAATGATATCTGATCAACCAGGCTGTGTCTCATACGTCAGGCTGTGAGCAACCTCATCGAACAGCCTGGTTGACCAGACCACCAACCAGTAGGCCTGGTCAGAGACCAATCCATGAGGATGTTGATCCTTAGAATCCTCAACAGGCAGGAAATAGCTTAACATTTTGAGGTAACATCCAAAGGCACAGACAGTAGTTATTATCTCAATACACACCACTTTTCCCTTCAGTATTGGCTTGAAACATGCAAAACCAGTACCTCCAGGGCAAGCCCAAAGAGTAGCATTCATGTTATTATATGAATGAAGATGGAATTACAAAGGGCAAATGGGAGCCGGTCGGCCGAGCGGACAGCACGCTGGACTTGTGATCCTGTGGTCCCGGGTTCGGTCCCGGGCGCTGGCGAGAAACAATGGGCAGAGTTTCTTTCACCCTGTGCCCCTGTTACCTAGCAGTAAAATAGGTACCTGGGTGTTAGTCAGCTGTCACGGGCTGCTTCCTGGGGGTGGAGGCTTGGTCAAGGACCGGGCCGCAGGGAAACTAAAAGCCCCGAAATCATCTCAAGATAGCCTTAAGAAATGCCATTTTCCTGTTATTATTCCAATTTCCAAACATGCACCCTTGCATAAAATACTGTACTGTATTTATATTATTGTATTTAAATTGAAAAATAATTACTGTAGTTTCTTGTATATACTGTACTGTAATTTAATTTACAGTAAATAGAAGTAAAGTTATAAAATTCTGCTTCTTGAATTGTTGAAATTTTGTATGTTTTCTCATGTGGTAGGCCTTATTATTGTTAAATATTTGAAGACAAAAAATCTTGAAATTTAATGAACTAATGCCTAAATTTGTATTGTCTGGAGTTTATTTTTTTAGTCTCCTGATGACAGATTTATATTTGTCCAAAACATTGAGCAACAACAGACTTGATGGTGATTGTGTACTGTAGTCTAGGTCTTCATCTTGTTGATTAAGAATGATTACCTATTTGTAGTTTCAGAAGGTATAGTTATGCTCATGGTGTCCCATATTCATTTTATTATAATTATTGACTTTTCCAGTGATTGTGGCATATGCTGCCTCCTCTTGTAGTCCACCACCACCAACTTCAACTATTTCTGGAGTGTCTTACTCTTGTCTTTCCTGGAATTTACGATTGTCATCTTGTTTTATTTTCTTATGATATAATTAATCTTGTATGTGGTTATCATGTCTCCTTTTTCTCTTGGCTTCCACTGTGGCCATTTTCAGTGCCTTTAGACATTCTTCATAGCTCATGTTTATTGACCATGGGATCCACATGAGTGCATGCATTTTTACTCTTTATATTCCTGATGTGACTTCTTTTTAACTTTCCTCCATTACAATTGCATTATATTTCTCTAAAGTGAATCGGTGAATACCAGATACAGTGACTATATTCCAATACAGTGCAGTACTGGACTATGCATTCATGCATTCTGTATGTACAATTTCTCTTAACCTTAAGTGACTCCAATCACTCACTATCTGTGATTACCTTCTGTACTCGAATCTTTGATTTATTTTTTATTTTTTTTACATTACAGTAATTTTGTTAAGTATTTTTTGTCATGTGTGCCGAGATGTAGAAGTTTTAATTAGCCGAGCTGTTTAAGGGTCAAGTCTCTTTTGATTTAAGTAGTCTGGCTTTTGTTATATAATGCCTCATATGCAAATATATAAACGTACATTTGCAAATCATATGCAAATATATAAATGTAGTTGCTCATCCCGTTTGGCAGGTTGATATTTCATGTGATCATAACACTTGATTTATATTACTGTGTGATGGTAGTTTCTTTACTTTATCTTCCATTCCTTTCACTGTTTCTACTGTTTGGTTGCTGCTTCTTAAGTCTGGTTCATTTAAATCTTGTCTTGCAATAAATATTCTTAGGAATTTCATATGTAATACTTCACACACAACTTTTTCTGATTCAGCAATTCTATTGTTTGAGTTTTATTCTCTGTATTTTGCCATTTGTATTCTCTTTTTTTTTATATATTTCAATAGTAGGAAGGGTTTCATCTTGTACAGTACTGTTCTTGTACTATACCAGTATAGTACAGTACTGAAATATTCATTTCTTTTTGTTTGTGTCTGTGTATAACTGTTGTTATGAAAGATTGGTCTAAATCATCTGTAGACTGTACATGTATTATGTTTTAATATCTGGTGAATGGTTCTTCCATCATAAACAGGGCATACCCGGTGTACACAGTGGGCGACACCACTATGTACTCAGCTGGCACGACCTACTATCAGCATGGCTCCACTACACCCGTGTCATACTCTCAGGTGGGTGTTTGTACGTATAATTTCCAGCATACCTGGGGCCAGATTCACGAAGCAGTTATGCAAGTACTTACGAACGTATACATCTTTCCTCAATATTTGATGCCTTTGGTTACATTTATTAAACAGTTTACAAGCATGAAAACTTCCCAATCAACTGTTGTTATTGTCATAAACAGCCTTCTGGTGCTTCGGAGCTTATTAACTGTTTAATAATTGTAATCAAAGCTGCCAAAAACTGAGAAAAGATGTACAGGTTCGTAAGTGCTTGCATAACTGCTTTCTGAACCTGGCCCCCTGGGTTCAGGCTAGTTTTGTATTGCCCAACATGTCAGGCTCAGACTTATACTGTCCAGTATGTCTGGCTCATACATAAAAATACCCAGCAAGTTTGACTAATATTGTACTTGTAATGCTCAGAATGTCTGGCTCATATATGTAATGCTCAGAACATATGCGTAGTCATTTGTTATAATGCCAACATGTCTTGTTCATAGGCTTAATTTTTTTTTTTTACTGTTTTCTATCACAGATGTGGTTATTCATTTACAATGCTAACCAGTAGGCTAGGATGCTGTATGTGGACCTTGTCAGAAGATACCAGGTGCGTCGTCTGAAGATGAGGAGGTATTTAGGGCAAGCCGTGGCTGGTTTGAGAACTTTAAGAAAAGGAGTGGTATACACAGTGTTGTGCGACATGGGGAGGCTGCCAGCTCTGATAAAGGTGCTGCTGAGGCTTTTGTGCCAGAGTTCCAGAAATTTGTTGATCAGGAGCAGTTTCTGCCACAACAAGTTTTCAATTGTGACGAGACCGGCCTTTTTTGAAAAAAACTGACGAAGAGGACCTACATCACGCAAGAGGAACAATCATTGCCTGGCCACAAACCGATGAAGGATCGCCTTACTCTCGTGCTCTGCGCCAATGCAAGTGGCGATTGCAAGGTCAAGCCGCTGCTCGTCTATCACTCGGAAAATCCACGAGTGTTCAAGGCGTTTAAGGGTCACAAGACACGGCTGAATGTGATGTGGAGGTCGAACAAGAGGTCCTGGGTCACGCAGATCTTCTTTAATGAGTGGGTAAATGACGTTTTCGGCCCCACAGTGAGAAATTATCTCGTCGACAAGCAGTTACCACTCAAGGCCTTGCTTGTGCTCGATAATGCACCTGCGCATCCTTGCCAACTGCAAGATGATCTGTTCCCTGAAAATCAGTTTATCACCATCAAGTTTCTTCCTCCAAACACCACGCCACTCCTCCAACCCATGGATCAGCAGGTCATTGCTAACTTTAAGAAGCTCTATATGAAGGCCTTGTTGGAGAGATGTGTTCATGTGATTGACACCACAGAGCTGACCCTCAGACAATTCTGGAAGGAGCAGTTCAATATCATGGGGGCCTTGCGTTTGATAGATAAGGCCTGGGAAGGGGTGTCACAGAGAACCCTACACTCTGCATGGCGAAACTTGTGGCCTGAGGGTGTCCCTGAGCGAGACTTCGAAGGTTTCGGTCCTGCACTTGCATCTGCATCCGCACCTGTGGATGACCCGGAGGCTCTTTTAGTGGTATATTAATTTTTTCTGTCCAACATAGACAGAGTTAGAAATCTCTTAAATAGTTCAGTGATTTATTTAACAATCAACTACAGCAGGTGATTGTAGTGCTTTAAAATACTAACCTTAACCTACATACATAAATACATAGATTTATGTCTGTCCTACATAAACACTGTTTGAGGTACTTTTTTTTTTTTTTTTACATATTGTGATTAATGTGCAATTACAAAGGTGAAATGCAATTCTGACCAGCTTATACATACCCTGTATATACACATTCATGTTTATGTCTCTTCTACTTTGACAGGATAAGATAGCTGCTATAGAAACTAGTGTGTGTTATTAAGCACTTAACTACAGAGGGTGATAAAATGCTTTTACAAGCTTAAGCTTTAGTTACATCACATATATTACATAACTGATGCATTACATAGTCAATCTTGGGGACAAGTTCAGCATATCACCGTGTTCCAGTACAGGTATTCAGATAGTTCAGTATATCTCAACACAGGGAGGTGAAAGTCGGTTAATGTGGAACATTCTACAATATATTATTCGTGGGAATGTATGTTTTCTCTTTCACAAAGTTGACACATGGTGAATTTGACATTGGGGTTTTGAGAAAGCTGGCAGATACATTTATATCCCCAGGCATATTCTGGCCACTATAAGATCACAATGCAGAGTCCTTGCTCTATTAATTCTATATATAAATATCTCGTCATAGCATTCATCATATTTATCATAGACTTACTTGAAATCACTAGAACATGTCTCATTCTTGAAATGCCCAACATATCTGGACCATGCTTATGTTGTTTAGCATTTCTGGCTCTCACATATAATGCTCAAGACATCCTCCTCATGCATGTGCTAGAAGCAAGTTGCTTTTATTTTATGGTCTCTATTGTGGTAAGTAGTGTGCATAATAACCTTCATTGTTTAAAATTAGGTTTGGTTTCCTAAATGCAGTAATATTATTGTAAATTACATATCTGGCCTATACATAATATTCTGAGAGAGCTTTCTTAATAGCTCCCAGTGCTGTAGTGCTGGTATTGCCAAGCCTTTGTGAGTTGCATGAATCTTGAGATTCACTGTGGCCATCCAGGAGCTAAGACCAGACTGGCTCTCTACATGATGAGGGAAGCTTTGGGATTAGAGGTAATACCCAAAACCAAGAATTAATTAATTATTAAAAGTAGGCACCAAGCTGGGAAGACTATGTAACGCCATCAAAATTGCAGGAGATTCAAAAGGCGCTAAATATCACTAAGGATGCCAGTACGAGAACGATAGTGCATAAGGCGTGCGATATCAAAGGTATCGGATTCACCAAGGAGTCTGTCGAGGGACAAATGACTGCAAGGGACAGTCGGGAAGCGAGACACACAAACGTCATGAAAATGAGGACATTCATCGAAGAGATTCACGACTGTAAGAGGGACAATGCAGTTTGGACAATAAGGAACAGGGTGGCGCTCCATTAAATGCCTGTGTGTTAAGTGCAAGTGGCTGATATTGCCAGGGCAATTTTTCACCATCTATTGTGGTGGTAGGAAGGCCAAGGGGATGAATCATCTTTAAGTGTGCAGAGTTTGTTACCCATAAATGCCAGACCAATGACTCTGCTAATGGTCATGGATTGCAGAATGATTAGATAGAAATCTGACTAAGGAGTCCATTTTTTTGGAAATAGGACAGGTGCAATGGTCTCCTTAGTGACAGCGTCTGCAAGTTCATTTAAGGTAACTAATATGGCTGGGAACCCAGCTAAATTCGACCATAGTAAATTTGCTAGTCAGTATTGAGTTAATTTGCTTGTCAGTATTGGATTTCTATCACCATAAGATGCAAAGGTTTAAAAGACTTCAGAGCCATGAAGGCACTGTAAGAGTCAACTACAGTAGCAAAGGAATGTCGATGTTGAAAAGGCAGCTGCTGAAAAGCATACAAAATTGCATAAAGTTCCACCATGAAGATGCTTGTCTCTAGGGACAGGCAGTACATAAACGTTTGATCAGGAAAAAACAGCAGTTTCCAACATAATTGGCAGACTAAAATCCATCTGGAAACAGCAATAGAGTGTGAGATGAAAAATATTCAAGGAAATTGCACTTCATAACAGTAGGAGTGGTAAACGTCTTCATCATGTGGGTCAAAACCTTGAAAATTTTTAAAAGCAGGACCCTCCTTGGAGGGTCACAAGGAGAGAGGATGCAAATGTGAACAGAGAATCTTACAGTTGAACCAACGTTACAGGAAAAGGAAGGTGGTGAGAGGGAACTAATACCAGTTCATACTACAGTATACTAACTAGCAGACAATGAGAGCTCTCACCGTACTATTAGCACCACCTGCAAATAATATCAGGTAACACTGTAGTAAATGTTGTTGTAAACACCTGCAGGTAATAACTTCACACCATAACTAATAGCATTATCTGGCACTGATACTAACTAACTATGCTAATTAATAGTGTCAATACCTGCTTGCACCATAACCAATGTTACCAGCACTTGCAGACACACAAGCTCACTCCATAATTACTAATGGTATCAACTACTGCATATAATATAGTTTGTACCATGATAACTAATGGTATTAATACCTGCAAACATTCCAGTTCACACTATTGCCAAAGAAAAAGTCTGTACAACAAAACTAGTTTGATGTTTTTTGTGGAGACGGTGAACTCTAGCAGGAAGAATAACTACCCTGATCGAGCGGCACACCACACGATTCTGGTCACAGACATAATTTGTCTTATTAAATTTTAATAATTTATGAGTTCTCGGTTTTTCAATCACTGATGTCAAATCATTAGCTGGAAAATATTTACTTGGCTTCTTGGTGGGGTTCTGCTATTTATTTGCTGCCTAACAACTTCCAACTACAGTAAATGCTTACTACCAGGATCATTACTCATAGTTTCTGGCTTTGGCAAGCAATTTCTCTTTTTGTAAGAATTTACCTGATGTGTTTTTGTTGTAGAAGGATGGGACTGACTGTTGGAGGTATATTTGGAGTTAATCTGTGACCATTTGTAACTTGGATCATATGGAGAGGATGTATTATTCATGATATAGAACAACCCACTTCCCTGGTTAATAATAATAACCAGTGCCTCCATAATTAACGTTAGTAAATATTATGTAGTGACTACTACACTGCACAGTTGCACTGTGCTCCCAGGACTGCAACTTTTGAAACATTCCATTGTTTTGCAGCCAGCCCATCACAAAGCATTGTACTCTTACATCCTGTCTTGCAGAAAGTGCTTCTGAAGTGACTTCGTAGGGTCGACATGGGGATCACAGCATTAACTCTTAGCATTGCAGTAAACACCTTTCTTCCGAACCCCTCTCCCATATCAGTTAGTTACTAACTATATTGGCATGCCATATTCCAATTGCTGCCTCACAGTTGTTCTTGACAATGTCCACTGT